CTCTCTAACGTCTATCTAGTAATAGGATTCATAATCAATAAATATGTTGTCCAAAGTATAGAATCCCATCAAATACAAAGAATACTTCTCCAATCGTAATACTATATATGAATATCCCTTAAGTTTCTGAGATGGAAACATATCCTAGGAATGGATCAGATCATGACATTGAAGCACCCCTAAAAGACTTGATAAGTTCCTTAAAATTTAAAATCTGCTCAAACTTGATTGCGCATTTCATCTTTTCTTAGGGCTTACTAAGTCTTTGTTTTAAAAAAGATGTATGGGCTATTTCTATTATCCCCATTTGTTACATCTAATTTTAGATATTTAGGCCATCTTCCAAAATTCACTTATTAATTTGACATCTCCTTCATCACTTCTTCAATTATTCCCATAGGACTAAACTCTGATTTATCATCCACCTAACTATCCGTCATTCTTTTAATCATCCTTTTAATATTCTTCTCCTCATCTATCCCTATTAGATCTTAGGAATTGCATCTTCAGCAATCTGGTAATTAAACTTCTTCTCCATGTGCACTTCTTATAAATCTGACATATATTTGGGAATTTCTGAAACTACAATCTTTGGTATGGGGTTTCTTCCTAAGTTCCTCTAATTATATCTTCTGGCAATGATATTTAATTAAACCTTTATCATTTTATAAAGATGTGGTTCAGTAAAATGACAGACATGTCTTTAGATTTTATTAGCTAAAAACTCGAGGAAGAGAATCAAAAAAAAATGAATACTTCAGTATAATTAATTATTTCTTATCTTAGATATAAACAATATCTAACGAGTAGTTAATTATATAAATTTTTTTTGCGACTAAAGAATTCTGTTGGATCAATAAATGCCATAATTAATTCTTTAGATGGATCTCTTGTGAAAGCAGCCTTTAAAGCACCTACCCTGTTTAAATTATTTGCAATTCCAAATTTTTCCAAATAATCCAGGTAATAGCCATATTAACAAACTTTACAATCTGAAGCATTAGTACAAATAGCACATTAATCAGAATTACATTTTATAGCATTAATATAGATATGAATTAGTTGGTTAATATTCAACTTAGCATTCATAACAATAATTTTCAGAGAAACAAGTGTAACAATGGCCCCACACGATACATTCATAATTTTGTAAATAATATCCAGCTTAATATCTTAAACAAGTATTTTCATCTGAACAAGCAAAGCATCTTTCTGAACAGATTTTGCATTTATTAACTTCTAAATAATATCGTGATTCGCAAAAATGACAAATTTGTTTTGTAATTTGAACATGCTATGCATGGATATAGATGGGACCCTTTATTAAATCGTATGCAAAATATTGATACTCATATTATGAATCCAGTAGCATACCCTAAAAGCAGGATGTACATACAACTAAATGTTGCATGTTACACTGTGATGCGTAACAATTTAAACAAGGTTCCTAACACTTTCGGACTCTGATTGAAATGTACAATCATCTGAATATTGAATAGGACAAGGTAAACAATCACCAACATTTAGATAGTACCCATTGGAGCAACCTGTTCAAGTATGCCTGTCCGTAAACAGCTAACAATAAGGATTACATTTTACACAATTCAAATCCCCTAAAAAAAACCAGGCGAGCATTCAAAACAACGATCAGTTAAAACAGAACATTACTTAATTTTTTGCGTACAAGTTTAACATTTATTATTAGAAACCAAATAATTTTATTTTTCATAAGATAGCATTCAGTGCAAGAGTTCTAACACATGTCGCAGAACTTGTACATTTGAACCATTTCTTCTTTATTAATGAGAAAGAGGAAATACATGAAGCACAATTATTTGATAAATCAAAACAAGTTGTACAATTATCTGCGTATTTGTATCCTTTTACGTAATACCCAGTTATGCATTAAGTTGCATTGAGAACTTTTTAAGCATTTTGAACATACACTTTTTCACCATCAATACATGATTAACAATTATCGCTCAAAGTGCAAGATGTACAAATTGAAGGAAAATCTTCACATTATCCAAAATTGTTACTATATTTTCCTGTAACACAAATATTACAATCGTTTTCTGCTTAGCATTTTATACAATCTGATGTATATATTATTTATAGATTTTAAATGTAGTAATTTAGCAAGAATTATCACTATAATAAAACCCTTCTATGCAAGTATGTATCAGTCTTGAATTTAAATGTCAGCAATCTCTTATCCCAAGTATAAACTTCGCATGCATATTTATATATTAATATGTAACTGCTTAATAACCGAATTTGCAAACACAAACCCCATTTACTAATTACCGAAATGTGATGTTTTCATCACTATAACTTAAACAATACTTCCTTTTTGAAAAATCACATGTAATACCATTTTCGGAACATTCTAATAATTCATTTCATATTCTCTACATAAAAATTAAGACAAAATTTACAGATTTTTACTTCAATAAACCCATCCTTGCAAACACACTTTCCATTGAATAATTATCTTGTGGTCGAATCACAAGTGATACATTTAGCTCCGTCATTTAAATCACAAGTTAAAAAGGTCTAATCACCTTAATTATAATGAACTATAGTATTACTTAGGTTAATATTTATTCAATTTAATTAAATATCAAAATTATTACACCCATTTATTAATATATAGAAACAATTCTTATGTGCTGCTAGATAAACAATATTAAAATAGATTGACTTTTTATTCACTCGTAATAAAACAAAAACTCAACATTTAAAATTAATAATTTTTTTAATTTACTTTGCAATACAATTTATTGCAAAACTATCTTTTACATTAAGAAAGCACATTACTAGCATAAAATCACATTTTTCCATTGATAATATATTAGAATTTAAAATAAAATATAGTGGAATATAATTGATTTTATAAAGATAGAAATTAAAATGTTCTATCTGCGTATTTGCATCGAATAATATATTAAAATCATTAATGTACTCTTCAATCAATTAAGATGAATTTAATAGTTATTTAACTTATCAAAGTTATACGACTAAATACTTTTAATTTTTAAACCAGCTACTTTTTAAGTTTACTTTCTTTACTCTTATATTCATAATTTTCACCTAATTATACAATATCAATTTATAAATCAAAATGCTTATAGATATTAAATTAAAATATTAAGAACATTCACAAAACCATCAATAATTTATTGTTCTAATGAAAATCATTTAAAAATCTTGCCAAATCATTTAATGATTGCAATAATATATCTAGTAT